TACTGTGTCCGATTTGAGCTCAAGTTGGATGAGTTACGCGTAGTAAATCGTAGGTATTATAAGGCTAGTAAATGACGAATTTCCCTTGTTTATTGATGTCACACTCCTCCCTATTATCTACTCCTGATATGCATGCAAATACGAATATTTCACGAATACGAATACTCACTTGTTGAAGCTGTAAACACTACCAAGGAATAAAAGATATATAAATATATTAATGAACAAATTTGCTTTATGTTAACGATAGAATGGCGCGCAATCATGCCCTGGCTCCTAGGGTGTTTTAGCAGACGTATTTGAGCAGACTCACATAAAAATGCATATATGTGTGTGTGCGTACGTGTGTTTGCGTGCGCGCACGCACGCGTGCGTGCGTCCGCTATGCCTCCAGACAACTTTCGTCCGTTAACGAACAACTTTTAGCAGACGTTCTAGCGCGCAACGCGCTCGCGATCGATCGAGCCCCGCGTACTTCAATCAAAGGCGCCGCTGCCACGCACATGGCTGGAAAAACACGGCATGGCTGTGTCAGATTTTCGTGACATCACTGTACACGTGTATATCCCGTCAACAAGAAAACCACGGTATTGAGCTGGTTACGGTATAATAATTCTAAAATATTACACCGTAATAATATCGCAATACCGGTATACCGCTGCAACCCTAGTTACGTATCCGTCCCTTCTCACACGCTCGATATGGGGTGAGTTACATGTGATAGTAAGATACACGTCCCGGCCTTCTCGACGTGTGAGAAGGGACAGGTACCAGTCTAGGTCCGTTCACGGGGAAAGCTGCAAACGACATTGAGAATTCGAGCAAATCGGCATAGAATTGCAGTTTAAAAAAGATTTTTTCAAGTAGACCTGTTCCATTTATATTATTTGTATTCGTCAGTACTCGAATAATGATGACGCGAATAACGAATACGTATCGTCCAACAACAATATTTGGTGCACCGAATACGCGAGTGTATCGTTACAGCCCTAATTTTCACTGTGCATAGCGCATTTTAATTAACTGTTTCGGTGTGGGCTACTAGCTTAATCATGTTTACTTGCAGCTGCTTATCTGCTTATTATGGTTTGTTATAGTTTTATATTAGGGTTACGTAGGTATTACGGAAGTTATTTTAAAAACTCACATAAACATTAACATTAGCTAACTGCACAAAAACACAAAGTCCTACACACACTACCTAAATTGCAAATCCTTATACAATAAATTACTTGAGTTTTCCCAGTTTAGATCGGTTCAAGGGTGTTTGTTGTAAACATGGCAACTTTCAGTACTATACTATATCAGTATATGTCTTTCAGTTCGCATATATATATATATGTATACAAGATATACTTTTCACGATACAATATATGATATGTACAGGGAAAACTACTTGGCAAATAATACACTTAACTGGTATTCTACCAATCATGTAAATGCTTACAAATCAGTATTGTAGCGCACTTAGTAAACAAATGCTATTGAACGTACTCAAAATTGTGTCTTGTTTTCTGATGGAACTATTCTACCAAATTATATTAATTTTATTCATCCCATCCCTAGTTGCTACATATGTAGTACTAGTAGTAATTGCCCTGTAGTCCTGTACAGTGGTCTTTGCTTTGTAAGGTCTCAGATAAATATGCACATTATATAATCGAAATATGCCTTTGAACAAAAATCCAAACGCACGTTATTTAAAGAGGACGTTGGATAAAGGGGACAGGTCCTGATATAAACAGGGAAATTTCTGAAGAGAAATTGCCTTCTTTCTAAAGTGAATGCCCTTAAAAATATTAGTTTGAGAAACCAATCTGCAGATTAGGCAACCCCTGTTACATATTTTATCAGCTATCAAGCATTAGTAAATAATTCAACTGATTGATTGGGGTATTTGGCATAGTGGTTAAGGAATGTGATGATTCTCTTAAATAATTTGCTAAATATTAGAAAACTTCCAAGTTTTGGCAAGGTAAGAGGGCTCTGTAGTTATAGAAACTTGAAATTGGTAGGCTATAAAATGTTATATCGTGAGAAAGAGTTCCTATACATCTTCTTTCTTGACTGTCTGGTATCTTGGTTAAGGCATATATGATGATTATGTGAAATAATTTAATAAATATTATTGAAATTCCTAGTTTGAAAAAAGGTAAGGGGTTGCACCTTGGAGTAATCATTCAGAATAATTACTCCAAGGTTGCACAAACTTGAAGTTGATAGGTTTTCACAGGTTATGACATTAGAAAAAAGTTCCTATATATTTTATCTTGGGTGTGCTTGGCACTTTGGTTATGAAATTAAATGGGTGTTATTTTTAAATAGCAGTTTCAGCAATAAGCAATAGAATGTTTTCAGCATGGCCAATCTTGAGATTGCTCAGCCAAACTGGGAGATTTGCAGTTTGCACAGCTTGAACTTAACATTGTGCAATTTCAAAGTTAAATTACAATATGTACAGGTGAATCAGGTACAATTTGAATTACAACATGGATATTTTTCCGAGCATCGGAAACGCATTTAGTCACAATATTATTTTGAGCGGTTGTTGTAGCAGTTGTTTTGCCAAATGTCGCCGGAAAGCACCGGTCTTGGCCGAAATGGTCTGCAGCATCAAAACATTTTTCTGTTGTAAATTGTGCTCGTATTGCCAAGTAGGCAGAGTTAAAGTGAAAGATTCCAATGCTCAGAAGAATATCCATGTCTTTCGAATTAAGCTTGCAAGTTGTAGTTGCATGCAGTGTGCGACCAGAAACGTGTTCACCCCTTAATCGACCTGCATCTAAACAGAGGAATTGCTCCGACTTGTAATTGGAGGATAAAAAAAGAATTCATGACGTTTCGTTTTCATTTTGGCATTTAGCCCATGACTCGAGTATGAGCGATACCGCACGTACAAATTTGCCAATTAATTAAGCTAATCACCTTTCAATAAACTCAAAACTCACAGGGATCATAGCTAAGACATGTGTCTATGATAGCTAGAATTTATAGCAATGTAACTCAAATCGTTTGCACCATATGATAGTTAGTACACTTTCCTACCGGTCATAGCCGCGCATTAGCCTATGAGCGATACCGCGCGTGCATATTTGCTAATTAATTAAACTAATCGCGCTTCAATAGACTCAAAATTCACAGAGATTAAGGATAAGTCATGTGTCTATAATTAATAGCTAGAATTTATAGAAATGTAACTCAAATCGTTCGCGCCATATGATAGTTGGAAGTGACTATTGGCCCGACGGTCAGGCGAATAAGAAACCGTTTTCTATAGACCCGACGGTCGGGCAAATAAACCAAGGCTAGCTATTCGCCCGGCAGCGAATATTTTTTTCGTACGCGTAAGAGCCACTGATCTCTATAATATCAGGAGTAAGATAATATATATTATCTTACTCCTGATAATATTATAAATATTATAGAGATCAGTGGTAAGAGTAAATACATGCGCGTGGAGTCATATACATAGCACATCCAAAATTCTCAAATACAATATGTCGTAATAGCGTAGCGTGTACAGCGCAAGCATCCACTATGAAAGGTCGGTGGATCGAATCCCATCTGTTTTCTAATTATTTTCCTGTTTTCTGTATTTTTCTATCTTTATCTGTTTAACATTTTCTTCCAATTAACGCAAATACTTACATGATTTATTTACAACATTTTAATAACAACAATTAAAAATTTTATTTTTTATATATTTTTTTAAATAGGGATTGGGTTAGGGTTAGGGTTACTGGTTAGGGTTAGGGTTAGGGTTAGGGTTAGGATTTGGCTTACGCGTACGAAAAAAATATGTGCCGCCCGGCAGCGTCTATTTTGCAACAACTGCAGCAATAATTGCAATTATAGTAATATTATATGTTATATTAATGAGTAAAATATGTTTTTTATGGAAAATACATCAGAAAACTTATACTTATCTAGCTATTAGGGTTAGGGCACTTTTTAGGGTTTTTGCATCATTCTTTAATACCGGTATATCGTAAAATATATGTTAAAATTAGAAGTGCCTAGTAAACATATCCTACCACCCCTTTCAGCCGGCTGCGTTTTCTTCAGTCAAAGCAAATCGAAGCAGCCAATCAGAAGGCGCTAAATCCTTCAGTGTGGGAAAAAAAAATTTGCGGTCGGGCGAATAGCCAGAATTCCCTATTCAGCTATTGGCCCGACGGTCGGACGAATAGAAAGAATACCCTATTGGCCCGACGGTCGGGCGAATAGCCTCGGCCATGATAGTTAGTACCGTACACTTTCCTACCGGTCATAGCATTAGCGTATGCGGCGTGGTATGCAAAATGAAAACAAAACGTCACGAATTCTATTTCTATCCTCCAATCACAGGTCGGAGAAATTCCTGTTTAGACACATGTTGTTTAATCGGGGCAGCACTTTATTCTGACATTTTAACCGTTTCCGACCTATCCCAATAAGACGGAGACCACTCTACTGTAGTCTAGACTATAGTCGAGTTGTAACAAAGCACTGAGATTGATATATGATCTTACTGTAAAATCTGATTCACTGTCACCGATTCAATCAATCCCACTCGAGCTCAGTCTCCGAGTAGACAGACTCTTAGCTCTAGTAGTAGTACTATAGTACTACTACTAGCTAACAGACTCTGAGACTGTGTGCAGTGTGTGAACAGATTGGAACGGACTAATTATTTAACCAGCATACACCCGCTACGTTTTTAGTAAATACTATCGACTAGTATAAAGAAATAAGCAATAAGTTAAGTAGGGCGTCATATTCTACCTCCAGTAGTAATCCAATCAATGTGTAAATCAAATTTCAATGATGTTAGTAACTGTGTAACAACACTTTATACCGTTAAATATGGCGAGTGTATTTGGTAGGTACGTCACGATTACAAACCGCAATTACGATTGGTCCATGTTTGCTCCAGCTGCCCAAACCTACCCAATGAACAACGGTTATTCGTGCAATTTCTACTTCCGTATCTAATTCGCCACTTGTCGGTTTTGGCGTGGCAATCAACAATTCGTCGTCCTCGTTCAGCTATCATAATCATATCATGGTTTTTAAGCGGTCTGTTTCTATTGCCGTCAGCAGAAGGAAAGCTATCGAGAAACTGTGGCATCAATGTCACCTGGAGAGTGTCAAAAAAGTCATTTTCTCGTTCGATCCATTTAGGCCAAACGTAAAATCATGCAGGTACCTGAAACCTAGCTCTACTCTAGTACTATAGCCGCTTACATTAACTGCCGCTGGGCTATAGACCGACCCATGGGGCATGCAATGGACCAACTTATCCCCAATGTATCCGGCTAAAAAAACGTCTGTGGTAGGCAATTAATGCCTCTTATCCGAAGTGAATATGTCTTAAGTTATAGCCGCTACTAAAATTGAACCTCTATTAGCTCTAACTATCGTTGCAATGGTATACTTGCGGTATTTCTTGTGAACAACAAACATTCATTTGCCGAACTTCAAACGGCCATTTCTGGCGGCGCTGCAGCAGCGCCAGTCAGTGGGAACTATGTATTTTCCGCATGTGGAGGGTGGTCGGGTTGGGGTGGTTGTGGAAAAAAACATTGTTGTTGTCAAGTAACAAATTAAGCGATCAGAGATTGTAATATTAGTTTTGTCATGAAAGATGAACAAATTACTATTATTAATTTGTTACTTGACAACAACAATGTTTTTGTCCACAACCAACACAACCCGCCCACCCCTCCACATGCGGAAATACATAGTTCCCGCTGACTGGCTGGAGTAAGTTGGTCCCGAGCATTCGTAATGGTTGATGCTATAGCCCAGCGGCAGTTAATGTAAGCGGCTATAGTACTAGAGCTACCTGAAACCTAACCCGACCAGGCTGTGTAACTAACGTCAATACACCGCCTGACATCCATCCATTGAAAAATCTTGTAGCTGTACAAAAACTACCGAACAATTACGTATATCTCAAATAAAATGATCATCTAAGCATTTCTGCCTTGTTTTGTATCAAATATAACCTTCACCTTATAGTATTCCAGCGTTGTTATTAAAACTAATGCTCATAGGGTCTATGTCCCCTCAGTTTGCTAATACCTCCGTTTGAAAACTATTTGAAACAAAAGGCAGCTACTAGCACGCTATTGCTAACTCGGCGGGCAATGTGGCTCGCTGGGAGATTTGAATCAGATCTGCTGCTGATAGCGGATTGGCGTGCGTGCGTGGTATGGGGGCATGCCAGCTGTATTGCCGGCATGCCAGTGTAGCTGTGTACCGGGTCAAAGGTTATCTCGCCGAGTGTTGCGTTGATGCCTAATCTCCCAGCAAGCCACATTTCCCGCCGAGTTAGCAATAGCGCGTTAGTAGCTGCCTTTTGTTTCAAATAACTTTCTCAACGCATGGATTTTGCTGGCAACAGAATTGAAAATCGTGTCGTACGTTTTAGTCTCTATCTCCGGATTGCGGGTGTATACGAGGAAACGATTTTGCACGATGCTAGGCGGACGAACTGTGTACGATTTGAGCTCAAGTTGGTTGCGTTACGCGTAGTAAATCGTAGGTATTTTAAGGCTAGTAAATGACGAATTTCCCTTGTTTACTGATGTCACACTCCTTCCCTATTATCTACTCCTGAATAATGTAACCCAAACACAGGATAGGGTTACAACGCGAGCCTATCTTTTTGTGTGGAGGAACCCCTGAGTGAATCACTCAGGGCGGTTTGCTGCATGGTGCGTTTTCAGAGACTATAACTTCCAAACTAAGTTTATTCTCAACACGAACCTTTCTCCGCTATCCTGGAACTTACTATGTATCACAATACTCTGTGTTAAACTAATATGATGTGTTACAAAAATTCGAAGCGACGAGCGGCGATTCTTCCAGCGCCATTTCTGTTGACCTGTGACGTACGCATTCCCAATGCGCATAGCGTTCGGCTATCTTCGTCATGACGTCACGACTGACAGCAGGCATCCAATGATACATTCGATCTTGGAATATCGCGAGATGGCATTGTGTACGATTCAGTGTTTACTTCCGTTCCGAGTTCAATTATCAATCTTGAAAACATGCATCCTGATCAATTTTTTCGAATTTTTATACTGTTTTGGACTTTGTCGAAGACTGTATTTCGGCGAAGTACACGTTCGACACTCGCGGCATCTACCGCTCTACCGATTTAGCTGGTGTTAAAATTTGGCTTGGGCCTGGGCAGACGTTTGCGATGGGACCAAATTGGCTCGTGATAACTCGGCACAGCCCCGAAAAACCGTCTGTGTGAACGCTCAGCTCGAGCCAAATTTGGCGCGGGCCTAATTAGGCTCGGGCTAAAAACGTCCGTGTGAACGCGCCTATAGACTCGTAGTAGCTCTAGTACTATTGCCCGCGTACAGTTGCCGCAGCGTTGTAGACCAATAAAAATGAATAAATATAATCACAATTGTTTGTTCGCGAGCTCTACTCTAGTCGTAATGCACACACTGTAAACCTGCCTAATATTAAACTGTGCGACTTTTGTTGTCGATGAACTTAAACTTTAAAGTTAATAAACTATCTCCTCAGACTCCTGCAGAGGTGGCATTTCTGGCATGCCAATAATAATAATATAAATGTCAATGTTACTGTTAGAGTAAAATAGCACTAGTATTACTTGTAGGGGGAATATATTATGCTGATTTCCTCTGAAATTCCCAAATTATCTGCTTGTACTCAAAGTAGTGTGCTATTCAAGCATTTTGTGCAGGTAGATTCAACACAAGGTCTTCCGTGTTCGAACCTTGCGTTCTGATGTTTTTATCGCCAATCACGTCCCACACTTTTGTGCAGAGTAATATTTAAACAGCGGCTCCACTTGACTCAACGTCTAGGCTTAAAAATCTGTGCGTTGTTAGGCCATGCAAAATTAGTATGTAATTAAGGCGAAATACTTGTAATTTTGCTAATAACTGTTAATGAACGTAAGTTTGAGTGAGAGGTTCATTATTTTCCCAATGCTAGTTCATTATTAGGTTTTAAAAAGGGTAGTTTTGTTGTTGTGCAAAACTACTATCCTGTACAAACTTACTGTTGTACAAACTAGCAGCTTGCCTGCGCTCAAGTAAATTTCATTGAACAAATGCTCATGTCAGTCTCTGCGCCTGTAAGCTGACCGTTAACATGTCTATGGGTTGGGTTAAGCCTGATCACAGGCCCTTGGAGGCTCAAGTTTCAAGAAGAGTATTTAAGAGAAACCTCTACGATATGCAGCATAGTGCTGACACCTAGTGGAGATTAATTATATTATTTAATTACATTATATCAAGAGCGTATAAAGAAGGTTATACGCTCTTGATTATATACGTATATGTAAAATAAACCGGTACAAAGCCCTAGTATGTCAAAATTATGTATCAAACCCAAAAATTACTGAAATAAATAGCGTCAGATATGCGAAGTGCTTATACTCTTTTTGAAACTTGAGCCTCCAAGGGCCTGTGGTCTGATCTGGCACACCTGCTGTGTAACAATGGGATTAGAATAGATTATGATAAGGATAGTATCATAATAGTATGTAATTAGGATTGGGGGATGCTCTGAAAGACACTGAAGCAGAGTGGAGCACCGAACACAGGCCTCCCTCTATTTTTCCCCCTCAAAAATTCATTGCGATTCTTTAGAAATTATTAGTTAATTGAGTAATAACAGGATGAGCATGAAATCAAAAACAAGGTGATGGACAGAACGTCACTGCCAACATATTTTTGCCAATTGGGTTTATAGTGTGATATATTGTAATGACAGTGAATAACAATAAGTTTATTGAATAATACAGACCTCCAAAAACATACATATGTACAATGTCTTTCTAACCAGCAAAGAAACATCATACTGTATAAAACTGGCTTTGCCTTTGTTTCAACTTTTGATGAAAACAGATTATAGTGTTATATGTTATACTGTTATTATTGTAATGTTTTATAAAAATAGTAAACTATTATGAAAATAAAACCAATTCTCATCACTGGTAGCACAATATTAGGCCAGCAATTATAATTACTAATATGTGCGTCTGATAGGGGCAGGGGAATAACCTTTCAGTTCCTGTATTGTGAATCCATGGAGCAGTCTGACTGACTACAGATTGTGCACCCCAAACCTAAACAGCTTCAAGTCTTGCCTATATATATACATTAACAAAGTGAATTCCTATTCTATACACTAGGAGTACAAGTTTAGTGTGATAACAGAGGCATATATTTAGGCCTGAATTCAGAAAAAGATACTGATTATTTGTTGCAAAAGGCTGAAAACTACCTATACAGATTTCACAGGTAATTAACGCTCAGGGTCTATGTCCCCCAGGGTACTGCCGGAACGTACCCTGGTAACTATTTGATATGGTTATGGTTAAGGAGTAGGCGTAGGCGTAGGCGACTCCCTATACTCGTTAGTGGAGTAGGCGAGGTACGGTCCGGCATATTAGATAGTACCAGGGCACGTTCCGGCAGTACCCTGGGGGACATAGACCCTCTCAGCGTAATTAACAGTTGTTATGAATATTTCAGAGATGTGCTAAGTTTCGTAGGATCATCAAGGGTGCAAGAGACCAATGACAAATGTCGTGTCCAGCTACAAGTTAAGAGTGATCGTTCTGAACCGTCCGTTGATCTGAGCTTTGGTGAGTGTACTCTGTTATATTTATAGGGGTTATTTCTCCATTGAAGCGTCCATTACACATGGTTCATGAAATTCTTTGCTTTTAGAGATGTTAATATCTTCATTCTTGTTATAAATACATTATGTAAGATTGTAAGTCCAATTTACAGTTAAGAGATTGAATTCAATCAAATCACTGTCTAACAATCACTTTCCTTGCTATTGGGAATTCGATTGCACGGTTCTCCCCAGGCCTTCATTGCATGTCAGGTACAACATGCCCGGGCCCCCCACTCAGTGTTATTTAGGGTACGCATATGCTCGTTCCCTCCCTTTGAAAGCACCCCCCCTATCTCAGGACTGCCAAAATTTCTGAACCCCCCTTTCGCGGGCTTTTTGCGGGGTTTTCCTGCCTTGGAGACCCCCTTAAATTCGGAACACTGCTCCTAATCGGGAACTATGGGGCAATATTTTTACTTTTCAAAATGAAATAATCCTGAATGAGCTTTCAAAACTAGCAGGAATTTCAGGAATTTGATCCCGGGATTTGATAAAGTTTTCTATGATATTCAAGATGAAAGAGAGAGGAAAAACACCCTTTTTTTAAAGAAATCTCCAGGTGAAAAGTCAAATACACCACCTTTTTAGCTCATCTGACATAGTCAGATGCAGCTTGTAGAATCGCTTGATCGTCCGTCCGTCCGTCCGTCCGGTCGTCCGGTCGTCCGGTCGTCCGTCCGTCCGTCAACAGTTGGGCACAAATCTTAACCGCTCGACGTACGGTCACGATATTCGGGTCGTTGGGGGGGATCGTCAAAACGAGATTTTTTAACATTTTAACTCGTTCGTAACACTATTTTAACTCGTTTGTTTTTTGGGTTTAAAAGTGATATTGAATGAGGTGTCTCAAGTTAGCAAGAGGCCAGGGAACCAGAATAAACACTCGGGAAGGGCCGTTTTCGGCCATCTGGGTGGTTTGTAAAACCAAAAATTTTCTTGTACGCTCCGCGCCAACCGATGGTCGCGCTCCGCTCAGATACTCGTGCCTACAACTTTTAAAATCCTGGCTACGCCCCTGGTTCCTACGCATAGTGAATATACTACTCTGAATAGACAGCGAGACCACGAATAACTAAACCAGGTGGTCGACTACACCCCCCCCAACCTCCTTTTCCTACCAACAGGGTTCGCTAGTGTCGGCGACTGTGATTGGATTAGACGGGTACCTTAGCTAGACCATGAACCAACGTACTGGCTCTTTTATCAAAGTAATAATATGGTAATAATAGATGTTGCCCCAGTCTATGAGCGGATCCGTCCTTTATATTGGATCGCTCCGCGTGTTGTGACGGGGCGAGATATCACTAGCGTATTGAATAAGTCGCCGTTCTTCTGGACAATTTTGAACCGTACTCAGCCCTTTAAAACAGGTAAGAAATAGTTATCATCAGACTAACGTCGTCGCTACGATAACATTTTACTTTGCTAGAGTAGATAGTGAAGCGATACCGGCAATCATTGCTATTTCATGGTCCATCATGCACGACCCGACGTAACCCAACATTACTCATTAGTTGATTGTTGGGTTACAATATTGAGCTCTTTATATGCTATATTATTGAGCTAGCTATGATGCTTTTCAATATTCTGTGCTATGTTGGAGCTGTAAGGTAACTTCCCGTGCCGTTAGTGCTATGTTTTAACTGCCTAATCAAATTGTGTCTTGTGTATGACGATGGATAGTCTTGTAGTAGGCCCTACCGGTAATACTAATACTAATAAGTAATAGCAGGAGTAATATTATCTTACTCCTGCTAATAGTAATAGGTACCGGTACCGATAATAGGGACTGCATGGGCATGGGCATGGGCATTCATGATCGGCTATTAGTATTAGTATTAGTATTACTATTAGGCCTACATAACTGCAGTCTGTAGCCAAAAGCTATATAGGCATATTATATCAGAATTTATAGCATTAGATCAACTGTTTTGCACTAAATTTTATTTTAGCTGTGGCAATATGTCTGTATTTTGTGACATATGTTTAATATCGATGTTAGCAACATAGGCCTATTGTAATTGACTCCATATGTCATTTCTACATAACAGAAATCATGATATAATTCTGCAATACTGCGGACATATACTTTTAATTTTATTTAGCATTATTCATTGTCATAGATCATTTAATGAAATCATTATTGATATTGTGTGTGTGTGATTATATATAGGTTTTAACAATAGCTCTAGTACTATAGCTCGCGTACATTGACTGCCGCAGGCAGTCAATGTACGCGGGCTATAGTACTAGAGCTATGTTAACAAATACTTGTAAGAGCAGGTCTCAAAGATGGTGTTTAGAGCCTATACCTATATGGGATATTGTGGCTCATAGGGTCTATGTCTCCCAGGGTACTGCCGGAACGTACCCTGGTAACTATCTAGCTGATATGGTTAGGGTTAGTGTTAGGGTTAGGGAGTAGGCGTAGGCGACTCCCTAGACTCGTTAATGTAGTAAGCGAGGTACGGTCCGGCATATTAGATAGTAGTATTTAGTATACCAGGGTACGTTCCGGCAGTACCCTGGAGGACATAGACCCTCTCAGCGATATTGTGGGGTGATGCTGGTAAAGACACAACCATATTGTTAAAATAGTGATTGTAGGTAACTTCAATATCTATGTAAGGTACGTATATTTCGTATGGCAGGTCTGTCAACAGAAAATGCCAGAAAAGTGTGTGTTCTGAATGCAGCACATGTGAAGTCTATCTTTAGCAGTGTGTGCTTGTGTGTGGGGGGGGGGGAGCTACAATGCCAGCTTCAGAAATTCTGTTCAAGTTAACCTCAGGTAAACAGAGACACTATCTTGTTTTGTTACTTAGACTACTTAGATTAGAGTTCCATCCAGAGAAAAAAAATTATAGACTGATTTTCGTATTGGAGCATGGCCAATTTTTTGGCTTAAAAATTTTCAAAAGGGCGAGTAGATTTTAGACATTTTCTGAGGACATGGTCTGACGGAGCGATTGGAAAACTTTTTTGTTTTAGCGGTGACCTACCATTTTTATGGCTTTATTGAAAGGACCATAAATGTAATTTCCGCTGACATGCGAAGAGTAAGTGTCGGATAACCTTTTGAACCTCAAGAGGAGGGTTAAACATGGATTTGTTGACTGTTAACAAAGGACTGAACTGCTTTTGCTATTGTGGATGTGAGGCTACAGTTGCACAGTTCAATTACGAAGGCAAATGTTTGTTGAACAAGGTTTACGTACCCTAAATCGTATTATTTTCTAAAGCAGTCTGTATTAGCACCCTGTATTAGCAGGGGCGTAGCCAGTATGTAGCACTGTAGGCACGGCCCTACACTTTTTTTGGCCAAGTTATCTTTTTTTTTAAAACACCCATAATTCAAATCCATAAGCTTGCTGGACGAGTTTAAGAGTCTAGACAGGAAAAACTATTGAAATGAACGTAGCAAGAATATGGCTAAATTAGGTGACCTATTCTTCTGTCATCTAGGCTGTCATTTCTATCGCGTGCCGTTTCATTCAACACTCTACCCGCCGAAAAAGACTAGGATCCGATCTTGTCATTTTTTTAACATTTTAACTCGTTCGTAACACTATTTTAACTCGTTTGTTTTTTGGGTTTAAAAGTGATATTGAATGAGGTGTCTCAAGTTAGCAAGAGGCCAGGGAACCAGAATAAACACTCGGGAAGGGCCGTTTTCGGCCATCTGGGGGGTTTGTAAAACCAAAAATTTTCTTGTACGCTCCGCGCCAACCGATGGTCGCGCTCCGCTCAGATACTCGTGCCTACAACTTTTAAAATCCTGGCTACGCCCCCGCTACGCCCCTGATTAGCACACTGTAATGAACCCTGAATGCTCGCGTGGGTAGGCAAAAACATGGGGGCAGCCCATTACGCATGCATGGGAGTGAATGGGCACTATTCTAATCATAATTATTGCCTGGCAACCTGCAATGCAGATGTGTTAACTCACAGCTGAGCGAAATTCTCGCCTGCCTGAATACACTTGGATTTTAGCCGGTAGGATTTCAGCAACTCAATGGATCGCCGTGAGGTTATCACGCACGAAGGGTGATGCCATCTTTGATTATTGATGACACTTGCAAGTTGCAGGGCGTCAAGTGACAAGTGACGCTCAAAAAATAGGAAAATAGGAATTTCAGATGTGAAAAAATAGGAGGAAAATAGGAATTTTTGTGAAAAAATACATGTTAAATAGGAATATTTGTTGCGTTAGATGGCCTCCCAACACCCCTACAGCCATCCCGATCCACCACAAATGGTTTTATTAATATACATATTTGGAGTTACATCACATGCGAACAATATTTTGAGGATATGCAATATCAAGGATATGCAATTGATAAGCAGTTTATACATGCATAAGCACCCATACATGTAGACTACTCCAAAATAGTATGACGTACATGTATACATGTACATGTACATGTACTGGACCTCCCCTCTGAATACACATACCACATCCAACTGAGAAACAACTTTACTGAAATAAAATCTGTGATAGTAGAGTATATATTACGTTAATTTAAAGTAAAGGGTGGGAGTCTGAGGGGGTCCTCCCCCAGAAAATTTTAGAAAATTGGGTCACCTGAAATGTAAATTCCTGCATTCTGAGAAGGATACATACAATTCTGGATTCAGAAAAATGAAAAGCCCTCAAAAATAGGAAAAAATAGGAATTTGTCCAGAAAATAGGAGAAAATAGGAATTGCCCAGAAAATAGGAAAAAATAGGAACTTGTAGGAACTTGACGCCCTGAA